GGGGGAAGGGAGGGAGGGGGTGAAATGAGGAGCTGATGCCAGGGGCTCAAGTAGAAAGAAAATGTTTTGGAAAAGATGATGACATCATATGTACAGGTGTGGTTGACCAAATGGGTATATGTATGGTTTATGCTAAGAGCTGCAAGAGCCCCCAGTAAAAATAAAAAAGAAAGACCGTGAAAGTTAAATGATACCTCTGCTTGTTTTGGAAGGAGGATGCCTGCTGTTGTAAAGGGAGATAGGACCTGATTTAAAACCATCGCAAGCATAAATTTGAGTGTTTCTTGGTAGGGGAGGAAATGACCTGGGGGCCCATCTGACCCCTCCAGTAGGAAGGAGGAGCATCCACCCCAGCCCAGGGACCACTGCCCCACACAGGTCAAACACACCGCTGGTCCAACTTCCTTTACCCTGTTCTGACACCAGCTTTGCCTCCCATGGCAGGCTGCTGCTCTGCAGGGTTCAATAACCTGTTGCAAGGGCTACACAGAACCCAGATGGTACTCACAATTATAGGGTTTATTAGGAAAGCTAAGCGTTTACCACAAGTCAGGATCAGAAAACATGAAAGATACAGGGTTGTTTTTTTTGGTCCACAGCAGTGCCATTCCTCAGCCACCAGTCAAGTCACCCTGGGGTCCTCAGCCTCTTGGCCACATAGTCCCTAGGCCTTTGCCTTGTTCTGTGGCCTGGGACGTCTGCCACACTGTCATTATGCCTGTGGGTCTTAGGGGGCTCCCCCCATGGTCTCCTTGCTGTGGCCTCTGCTGCCTCTACCACTTTAGACCAGGATCTGCGTGCACTGCACTGCACAGGAACTAACTTCTTGATAGTTACGAAGCTCTCTGTACCTGCTTCCCAGGTGGCTCTCAGAACCAAGGGAAGGCGAAACCAAAACTGCCCAAGCCCCACGTTAAAGCCCACTATACTGTACTTTATTTGCATGCTCCCAATCAGTCACTGGGTGAGACTAAGACGATAGATAGAAGAGCCATACCAAACGATTTCACTATACCACAATAGGTGATGGTCTTTATGTATGAGAGTTTGGATTTGAAAAATAAGGTAATTTTACCAGTGAAATCAAATGCCATATCAAAATAACAGATCTCAAAGTCAGTCCTACAGTTAGCTTATTCAAACATCACAAAAAGCTTGCTGGGAAGTACTAACTTCCTATAAGACGCTCTGATTATTCTTTAATGAGAGAGGTTAGTGGGTCCAGTAATTCATTTTAATCCTTTGTGGTTTGATAGCATTTTTTTCTTGATTTCACTTTGGAAAAGGTAAAATATTCCAGCATACTTCTGACGGTTTTGTATTGCATCAGCCATTCGAAGGAACAGATACTGAAAGCAAGTTACACGTTTCCTTGAACAGAAAGTACGATTCACACACGTTAACTATTTTTTACCAAAAGATTATTGCATATTGTGCACTCAAATGCACTGTGTTTACTTCTCTACAACCTTCTATTTGTTTTTATTCATCAATCAGTTCTGTGTTCTGTTCATTTCTAAAATGTACTCAATTAATATTAGATTGATTTTAACCTAGAGGTTTATTATTGTAACTTAGTTTAAAATAATGGATCGGAAATACTTTTAGATCTAGTAGATTAGTTTCCAAATGATAAAGATAATTAAATAATTTGCATTTGCATTTGCTTTTTGTATGCTAAAAATGAACACCCGCACCCCCATATATTTCAATGCAAGCACTTTGTTTCAGCTATTTACAATACTCTTATCCAAGTGCAAAGGAAAATACTTTTCAACTACCAGAGCAGCACAAGTTTAAACTGTCTTGGAGCATTGTGACTCACAGTAACCCTGTAGGACAAAGTAGAACTGCCCCTGTGGGTTCTGGAGACCAGCTATGCATCAATCCCTCTTTGTGGGAAACAAAGATTTCTCCCACGTCCTGTCTCCCCCAAATACATTAGACTTAGGACACTGCTTGCAGCAAATAATTGTCAAGTTACTTCCCTGAAGGCAGTCAGCTGCCAGACTACTGTCTAGTGGTGACCAGACGGCTCACTTTTGGCGGGACAGTCCCGATTTTTAACAATTTTTCCCACATCCACGGCGTTTTTAAAAAGTCCTGATTTTTGGAAAGAATGCACGACAGACAAGCTAGGGTATATGGTTTTCCGCTGCCGTGTGGCTATTTCGCCAGGATATGAGTTTTATCAATGGTGTCCCGCTTTACCAATGTTAACATCTGGTACCTTAGTTCTAGTCCCACCATGGGTAGGCCTGATCCCTGCTGCTATGGTCAATGGGCTACTTCTCCCTAAAGGCTTGCAGTCATCCATTTGGTTCCTATGGGTGGAGTTCACACCCTACTGATAGTGGTTTCTGACATCCAAAGTTAGGCTGCCATCCTGAATCCAGGATCCGCCCATCTTATCACCCCCAATCCCCCCTCTTCCTATTGCATATACACCCCTAGATCACCTCCCTCCCATTACTGTATTACCTGTAGCACAACCCTTTCTTTTTTTTTTTTTCTTTTTTTCTTTTTTAACATTTTATTAGGGGCTCACACAACTGTTATCCCAATCCATACACACATCAATTGTGTAAAGCACATTTGTACATCGTTTCTCAAAACATTTTCTCTCCATTTAAGCCCCCGACATTAGGTCCTCATTTTTCCCCTCCCTCCCCGCTCCCCCCTCCCGCATGAGCCCTTGATAGTTTATAAATGGGTATTTTGTCATATCTTGCCCTGTCCGACGACTCCCCTCATCCACCCTTTGGTGCACAACCCTTTCTTGTGACGGATGTCTTCACCTGTAATTAAGGGATTTGCATGTCCTCTGAGAATAACCAAACCTCGGTTAGCATTAAATATCTCTCTCCATGTGGACCACCAAGTGAGGTTGAGGTGAGCACTGCTACCATGGATTGTGCCTGACTCCATTATTTCTATCAACTCTCATGCTTTCTATGACTTCACTATAGTCTGTTCTTATCATCACTGTACAATTGTGCCTACTGGGCTCATGATGATGTATTGGGCAGGATTACCCTGACACCTTTAGGGTTTTCCATATAGCTTAGCTTTTGCATGCATGAGACAATTGAAAATACCATGGCTTAGCTCAGGTGCACCTTCCTCCTCAGTAAGGACCAACGTTCTCCTGTTTGCCCGTTAGCACGTTAAAATCTTGTGCAGCAGATTTACACAATGCATTGAACGCATTGCTATATTTCCTGAGCAATGATTACATGTACGCTGACTGTAAAACGAACTCTTTGACGACTTCAGTGTTTTCTCCACTTATTAGGATGTTGCTTACTAGTACATTGTGAGGATTTTTGTTGTCTTTATATTGAGGTGCAATTCATGTTGAAGGCTGACGTCTGATCTTCTGCAAGTGCTTTAAACCCGCCTCAGTGTGCAAGTTTGTGTTATCTGCATATCACACGTTGTTCATGAGACTTCCTATAATCCTGATGCTGCAGTCTTCGTATAGCCAGCTTCTCAGACCATTTACTCAGCACATAGATTGAGAAAGGAGTATGATGAAAGGATAGGATACAACTGCGATGCACACCTTCCTGCCTTTAAACCAGATGGTCTCCATAACTGCCCCTGAGTCTGTGCACTACTTCTGCATGAGCACAGTTACGTGTTCTAGAATTCCTGTTCTTTCCACTGTTATTCATACTCTGTCAGGCTCCACGTAGTGGAATGCCTTTGCGTAGGCAACAAAGCACAGGTAAACATCTTTCTGCTAGTCTCTGTCTCCAACCAAGCTCCCTCTGCCATGAATCATGATAGCTCCTCATTCCACAACTTCTTCCAAATCTGGCTTGAATTTCTGACAGTTTACTGTTGATGTGCTGCTGCAGTTTTTTTTAAAATTTTTATTTTCTTCAAAAACCGTACCTGTGTATGACAGAGTGGGAGCCCTGGTGACACAGTGGGTATACTTTGTGCTGCTCTCCTCAAGGTCAGTGATTGGAACCCACGGGTGGGCCTGAAGGAGAAAGGCAAGGCTTTCTGCTCTGACAAAGATTTAAAAATCCCAGAAACCCACGGGCAGCTTTACTCTGTCCTGTAGGTTTGCTCAGAGTCAGACTTGGCTGGATGTCAGTAGGCTTAGTTTGCATTTGACATCAATGATACTAACTTCCGTATTTTGTTGGGTCCCCTTTTTTGTGGAATGGGCACAAATTAGGACTCCTCCAGTCAGTTGGCTTATTTTGTGGCATAGGTGCGTGCTTCCACGGCTTCTCTGGCTTGTTGAAACAGTTCAGTTGGTATGTCTTCAATTCCTGGAACCTGCTTTTGTGATTGTTAGCAACGCCTTCAAGGCCGCCGAGTTTTCATCCTGGGCTCCCTCTTGGAGTGGTTGATGCCGATCACTTCTTTTTGGTACGGTGACTTTGGCCTTTCAATATTTTGCCCAGAGGCGGTTTCAATATTTTCCCTTGGGAAATTTCAAAATTTCGTTCTTTCAGCTTGGGAAATGACAAGAGTGGATTCAACCGGCTTATTTTTGGACTCCAAGTCTTTGCACCGTTCACTATAGTGTTTTACTCTGCCATCTCGAGCCACCCTTTGAAGTCTTTGTTCGCTTTTCCTATTGACTCAGTTTCCCCGTCCGTGAGCTTCTAGCTGGGCAGAAAGACGGCTGAACTCATCTGCTGAAGTCAGGAGCCCTGCTGTAGGACCCATTGGAGCGCCGTCGCATGACTCAGTGACTGATGCGCAGGAGCCATGGCACACTGCAACACCAGACTGAAGACCAGACAAACCTACTCCTGGGTTGGCAGGCCACTGTATGATCGAAAATTACACAACCAATTCTACAGGTGAGTGATGGTGTTGTCCTGGAAATGCAGGGTTTCCGAGCTAAGCGGTAATGATTCTCCCCAGCCTGTTCCAGGGACTACATCATGAAAACTGAGGGATACTAGATAAGGATCATTGTAAGGAAGGGTTGTTCTGGTGGGAGAAGATGGTAGCATCGAGGAAGCAGTGTGTGAGGAGCAAGAGGTTGTGGTGATTGATGGCTTGATACAATTTGATGTGTGTGATCATGGCCTCAAAATGTAAGGTTCTATGCAAGTCTTCAAGGATAGAATTAGCTGCTAGTACTATGTCCTCCTTGGCCCTAGAGCTCTCTGAGCAGCCGGCCTTGGGAAGCATTTGTCTGTTGTTCTGTGTTAATAACTGAGAGAAATCGAGGTTCATATTAAAGCCTCTGGATTCTTCTACCGAAGTAATTCATCTAGTTCCTTTTCTCTAGTCTGCATGAAACTGGGTAAATTGGTTTCCTGATAGGAGGGTGGGCGGCCGAGAGACGGGATTTTCCAGTTGGGAAGTATTTTCCTCTGCCAAGAAGATGGGAAGAGCCCTAAGTGACTTCCTTACATGAGTCTTTGTTACTTTCCAGAGAAATGTGCGTGAAAATGGAAGCTTCTTCGACTCAGGTTCATATCCAAGTTGGACAATTTGTGCTAATTGAAGGCAGTGATGATGAAAACCCATACGTTGCTAAATTGGTTGAGTTGTTTGAAGATGGTGAGTTGGGGGCTAGAGTGAACTGGTGTTCGTGGTCGCATGCAGGGCACCTCTGAGGGTGAGGTGCGGTCACCGGCACCGTGGTCCTTCCTTCTCCCAGTGACTTGCTCCACTCCCTGAGCACCACTGAATCAAATGGGATTGGAGGGGTCAGGAATTCTGCTTTGCCTTTAAAAAAAAATTAGTATTTTTTTTTTCATTTTTTTAGGAGCGAGTCAGAATGACCGTGGAGGCAGTATTTTGGAAGTAGGGGACAGGATGGGTTCAGGAAGCAGGATGGGGGTAGGGTGGGGGTGTATGATGCGTATTTCGCGTTATGATCGAGATGATGACTCTTCTTTTGGCTGTTGGAGCTGTGGGGCATTTGCTGAGCGCAAATCCATCCTTATGATGGATCGGGAAGATGCAGTAGCTGGAGTTCAATAGGAAAAGAAAAACACCTCAGAATAGTGGGTTAAGCTGCTTAGCCACAGGGTCGGCATTTCGGAAGCCCCAGATTTATGCTCCCATAAAGATGAACCATCTCGGAAGCCCAGCGGGGCACTTCGGCCTTGTCCCCCAGAGCAGTGTGAGTCCGGGAATCAGGTCTCTGCCACACAAGAGCGCACTGAAAGGTGGGAACAGTGGGGGGGTTCTACAGGGAGGGTAAGAAGAAACTGCTGGGGACTCGAAACTACAGGAAACTGCATCCTCTCGGAGGGAAGAGGAAAGACCTCAGCAGCTGGGGTGGGAGTGGTGGTGAAGAGCGATAGCCTGGGGTGGGAGTGGGGGGTTGCCTGCAGGAGTGTTTGAAAGGTTTGGAGAAGATCCTCATTGCACTAGCATCCACTAGGGGGAGCACATCAGAACAAGTGCACGGATTTTAGAGTCATTGTGTGATGCTGTAGGATGGCGCTGGCCTTGGAGGAGAGCAAGCTCTGGGAGGGAAGGGGAATGACGCTGGCAGGCAAGAGTGTCTGTCTTCCACTGGGAGCTGCTGCCGTCGAGGGCTATTTGCCCTGTGTCACCATGTCACCGCGGAAGCTGGGAGCGGACATTGGCCAACAGTCACCTCCGTCTCTGGTTGCTCAGACGTTGACTTCACTGCCTTTGGTGGCTCCATTATAGTCCGTGATGGGGCCTGGCTACAGGCTCGGTTGCTAACTGCAAACAGCTGCTCTGGGAGGAAAGCTCTGGCGATCTGCTTGTGATTGCTACAGCCTACGAATCCCTGTGGGGCATTTCCACTCTGTCCTGACATCAACTCGACGGCCCATCTAACAGTCCACAAACAGATTGCTAGGTCTGCTCTCCCCAGGTGGCTGACAGGCGCCAACTCCCTTAGTCACCAGCTGAATATGCTTCACTGTTACACCACGACTGGACTCTGGTTGATTAGAGTCCAAAACAACAGTAACAGACAAACCTACACTCACGTCCCTCAGATCCAAGAGGCAGAGTAGAACTGCCCCTTTGGGTGGACTTTAAATCTTTCCAGCAGCAGGCGGCCTCATCTTTCTCAGGCAGAGTGGCTGGTGGGTTCAAACCACAAACCTTATGATTAGCACCCGCGCCAGGACTTAATTAGAGTAGCTCCTCTCAAGTGCCGTTTGTAATTCCTTTGTTGGCTGAAAGCACCAATAACTAGAGCAAAGTGAGATGGGCATGAATGCTGTGTCGCTGCTGGTTGGACTTGGGATCTTTGGCCAATAATCTTGGTGCCCTGCAGGTGCTGTGGGCTAGGCTAACCGTCTGGTTGGGGTAAACCACCATGCACCATGGGAAGAAGTTACAGCTGTCTTCTCCATAAATAGATACAATCTTGGCAACCCTATGGAGAGTCGCTAAAAAGGTGGGACTGACACGATGGCAGTAGGTTTGGTTTGAGTGACCTTGATTGCACCTGGGAAAGGGGCACAGCCACAGCAGCCACCTTGTAAGGTGAAGACAGTACCTGGCAAGTGTTCAGCACAGGATCTGGCGCATAGGAAGTGGTCGGCACGTTTCTTTCCGCGGCTGTGTTTGCAGATATTCTTAACCCTCCTCTTTCTGCCTTCATAGGTTCTAAACCTCGTTTCAAGAAGCGTGCCCGAGTGCAGTGGTGTGTCCGGTTCTCTGAAGTCCCGGAAGGGAAGCGGCATTTATTGGGCCGCGAGCCTGCCCCACAGGAGATCTTCTGGTATAATTATCCCGCCTGTGACAACAACATCAACGCGGAGACCATCATCGGCCCCGTGCGGGTAGGTGGTGCCCTGCTCCCTTCCGTGAAACTTACTTCTGTCTCCTAGCCTGCATGCCCGCAACATAATTTCTGGCTGTGACTTAGCCCACTGAGGATGAAGTGTCTTCTGTCACCTTCTTTGCTTGCCTGCTTGCACAATCTCAACAGATATTGATTGAGAGTTTTTGCTGTGTGTTAGGGGCTTCCTAGAGGAGGTACATTTGGGTTGTGGCCTGAGGGATGAGGGGAATTAGTAACTATATCACAGTGGGGTATTATATTTAGCTGTGCTGTGGCAGGCATGAAGCATTGTGAGGAGAAACACTTACATGAGGCTCACCTTGAGTAACCCAGTTGGGGGCTAGGCACCGCCTGTAAATGTGGATTATGGAATTTCACAGCAAGCAGGTGCTAGTGAGCTGCTCTTGGGTGGGCTGAATTAGACACTGTTTTGAGGACACAAGTTCCAGGTGACTTGTGAAACGATTTCAGGCCTTCTTGATGGGAATCGAGCTTCCCGTGGCCTGTGGTGGTGTGGTGATCCAGGGGTTGGGTTAGTGATAGAACAGAAGCTCTGGCCTGGCAGGGTTCTGGTCTGATTTTTCCCAGATTGCCTTGCAGACAGCCCGGCCTGACATGTGCTGTCCAATAGCATTCTCTCTGAGGGGGGTCAGTGAAAGGGAGAAAGGCCAAGGGGTGTAAGGCAGATGTCGAAGTTGAAACCACAGGTTCGGAGGATCTGGAAGGGCTTGGGGCAGAGAGTGGTGAGATGGAACAGGACCCCGGCACTCCCTGCATGGTTCATGCCGGAAGGCCCTTGTGAGGCGTCCATAGAAGGCATTGCCATCCAGGTCAGTAGTCTGATGTTGGCTCCCTGGGTAACCAATGCTTACGGTTAGAGATGCAAACCCCCCCAGAACTCCTTCCAAGGGCAGGCCGAGCGATGGACTTCCAAGAGGTCGCACACAGCCTTGAGAACTCTGTTCCGCACCCTGAGCTTGCTACCATAGGAGCCATTATAGCCTCTTGCCCTCAGGGGAGCATACTTCAGAAGGTGTCTTGTGGGAAAACGTATCGTGGCTGAACAGAGTAGGGTGCAAAAGCGTCTGCTGCTGGATGTGATCATCAGCCGGGTGGGTGGACAGAAATAAGGCAGGTGTGGGACGGTGTGCTTGGATGAAGGTGAGACCAGCAGGACTTAAGAGAAAAAGCAAGCAGTTCAAAAATGAAACGAAAAGAATTATTTATTCTGGATAGTTTGTTGACTTCATTAAAGCCGCTAATGATTGAATACTCAGTAAATATTAAACTACTCTTATGGTTTTCTCTGTCAATACACTTTGCCACATCTGCGTCTCTTTAGACTGAAAAGTAACATTCCAGGCACAGAGAGGGACTTGCATGTTTTTTTTTTGTGGGGTGGGTGGTGGGGGGGTGGTGTTTGCTTGCGGCGTGAGAGGAAGCTCACAGAGCACATTAGTTTCTCAGGGACAATAGCTACGCATTTTGTTGCATGCTCAGGCGCCGATCCTCTGTGGAACATACATACGAACAGCATCCTTCCCACGGGCTCCCTGCCTTCTGCACCATCATGCCTCCTTTCCTGCCTTTAGTTCTGAAACTTTTGGGGGCAAATGCTGCCCTTTGTTCTTGGGGTGGATTGTCCTGAGCAGTGAGCCACTTGCATGCTTGTGCTTGTCACTCTGATGTGGCGTGCTGGGTCCTGATCTCTCCTACCCTCCTTCATGTCCTGCATGTAGGTAGTAGCTTTAGCCCCGGATGACGTGATACCTGCGGATTTGAAGTATAAAAAGACCCTCTTTGTGAAACTGTCCTGGAACGAAAAGAAGTTCAGCCCTCTGCCTGCAGAAGTACTTGCAGGATTGGACACGCTCCAGGAAAGCAGCCCCGGGTTCCAGAAGCCTGTGGGAGCCAAGATGAAGAGCGAAGACGGCCACCCCTGGGCCACAGCGAAGCATGCGGACAAGAGGATTGAGTCCAGGCACCAGGCCTCAAAAGCTTGCCAGAGTGCCACCCACTCGCTCACTCCACGAGCACGGAAGAGGCTGGAGCTGAACGGTAAGGGCGCTTGGTCACAGTGGGCAATAGCGGGCTGAGGGACTGTAATACAGTACTGCTTCACGTGACAGCCCAGGCCACATTCTGTTGGTCATAGGTTGGCATTTTCATCCCATTGACTGAATGGCTGGCCTGGGGGCCCTAATGGATTGATCTCTATTCGTTGTCTGACATCCCACTAAACATCAAAGTGAATACATAAATCTCTTTTGCACTGATAAAATTTCAAGTACTCTATTTGATAGGCCTTGGGATGCCGAGACTTCTCTGTACAGGACGTGTCAGTGGACATAAAAATCATGTCAGTGCTATGTCTAGAACTGAGTGAGGAGGCCCTGACAGGCCAGTGCATCCTGCTCAAACTCGAAGTTGATTCAGATGCAGACAGGAGCATTCTAAGATGCATGAATAAGCCAAGCACTCCATCATTTTCTGCCTTACTGGTGTTATTTCTCTGCCTTAGCCACCTGGGCGGGAAAGAGAAAGCAAGCCACAGCTCCGTTCTTGCAGTGAAAGCCTCGCTCGTAAACCAGTCGCTTGCTGGTGGGTGGGATGTGTGGGTCTTGCATTGTGAGTTATTTGTAGGCAGTTATTAATCTTAACAAGTTGGAAAACGTGCCTGTATACCCTAGGACATGTACCTTCTGTAATTTTACTGAATCTACCTAAGTGCTGTCTTATGGCTTTTAGTATTGGCATGGCATAATTTAAAAGGTGAGCAGTCAACTGTCACAGGTGCTCTAATTTGGGAGTATGCAAGGTTCTTTGAGAGCATGGAGGAGCATCTAACTTAAGCCAAGGCCCATGTTTGAGGGGCTCCGGGAGACGTCTGGGATGGCTTCTGAGTGTCTGGCTTAAGGGGTTTGCCATGTTTGGAGATAAAATAACAACTTTGGAGCAATTAGATACTAAAATACTAGCGAGTAAGTCTCCGTATCTCTTGTATGTGCTACTTAAGTAGAACCTTGAAAAACGGTTAGGATTTAAAGAGTAGGACAGGTGTAGCCTGAATGATTACTATTTGAGCAAGAGTGGGTGTGGCAGGGGTGTTCATCTTAATCTTCCTGAAACACAGTGCACTTTGGTTACTTCCTTGTCCAAAAGACTTCGCGTGGTCCTCCTTGGGTAACAGATGAAAACAGAGACTGCTTTTTGCCAGACTGTCATAATGAGAGGGTTGCGGGGTTTGACCTCAGGAGACCCTGAGCATGTTGCGTGGAAACCTGGTCTGTGGACTATTTTCTCTTTGAACTTGGCTGGGCTGCGCTCAACTCTTGCATTTCTTAGCTCCAACCCATAATGTTCTCCCTGCCTGGAACGATTCCCCTCCCTTGCTTCCCACTCCCACTATGAATCCTACCTATTTTGTGGCCCATAAAGTCTCTCTATCTCCCCTCTTCTGTGCCAAACTATCTTGGAGAAACTTCAAACCCATAGGAAATCTGCAAAAATGACGAACACTGGTGTTTTTCACCTAGACTCAACCATTGTGAATGTTTTGCCCTATTTGCCTTTTCTTGTCCTCCCTCCTTTGCTCTAAGTACATAGGCATCTTTTGTAAATCTGTGTAAATCTTTTGTACCCTGGATGGGTAGCCATGAGGTCCGGCCACTGCTCTGGAGAAGGGTGACCACGGCTGCTCCCTGAAGATTGGTGTCCTCCAGAGAGAGGGCTACACTGAGTCACAGCGAATGGACTCGGGGGCAATGGGTGTGGTTTAATGCGGTGTGTGTACCTAGATCAGTGTGTGTGTGTTCGCGTGCGTGCGTATGTATGTAAGACACACTTTAGCATGTATCTCCTTAAGAACACGGGCATTCTCTTCTGTAACCACAAGTATCACATGTGAAACATTGCTGCCATTGATTCAGGGGTGATAAACTACAGTTGGTGAGGACCGACCTAGCTTACCTGGTTTTGTACAGCCCTCGACTCAAGACTTTTTTTAAAGACTTTATTTAACTGCATGCAAAATCATTTTTTTTTTAACTTGGAAGTAGCTCGCAAAGCCTACAGTATTTACCATCCGGACCATTTATAGAAGAGCTTTAAAAAAGAAGAGGAGTTTGCAGCCCTCTGATCTATAAACACTTGTCACTCCTGGTGAAACGTGTGCGACAGTGACAGAGTTAGAGAACTGACGCGGTTTAACGCAGTCGTTTGCAGAGGGCCGTTCTCCCCACCTGTCGGGAACTTGGGTTCTTTCCCGGCCTCCCTTGCCTGCAGTCCTGTTGCAGGAGTCCGCAGATGCGCGTGCACACACGTGTTCTTTCCCCTCCCCTCCCCGGGTCCATTCTTTCTACCTTGCTCTTTCACTAAATCACAGTACCTGAAGGTCCTCCCGGGGCAGTTCTCAGAGATCTTCCTTTTTTAATCATTTTATTAAGGGGCTCATACAACTCTTATCACAATCTATACATACATCAATTATGTAAAGCACATTTGTTTTTTGTTTTTTAATTGTTTTATTAGGGGCTCATACAACTCTTATCCATATTTGTACATTCATTGCCTTCATCATTCTCAAAACATTTGCTCTCCACTTGAGCCCCTGGCATCAGCTCCTCATATTTTCCCCTCCCTCCCTCCGTCCCTCCCTCCCAAACCCTTGATAATTTATAAATTATTATTTTGTCATATCTTGCGCTGTCCAACGTCTCCCTTCACCCACTTTTCTGTTGTCCGCCCCCCAGGGAGGAGGTTATATGTAGATCTTGTAATCGGTTCCCCCTTTCCACCTCACCCTCCTGCCACACTCCCTGTATCGCCACTCTCACCACTGGTCCTGAAAGGATCATCCGCCCTGGATTCCCTGTGTTTCCAGTTCCTAGCTGTACCAGTGGTCTGGTCTAGCCAGATTTGTAAGGTAGAATTGGGATCATGATAGTGAGGGAGGTGGAAGCATTTAGGAACTAAAGGAAAGATGTATTTTTCATCATTGATACACTCCACCCTGACTGGCTTGTCTCCGCCCCAAGACCCTCTGTAAGGGGATCTCCAGTGGCCTACAGATGGGCTTTGGATCTCTCCGCACTCCCCCTCATTCACTATGATATGATTTTTTTGTTCTGATGATGCCTGTCAAAGGGTACCTGATCCCTTTGACACCTCATGATCACACAAGCTGGTGTGCTTCTTCCATGTAGGCTTTGTTGCTTCTGAGCTAGATGGCTGCTTGTTTACCTTCAAGCCTTTAAGACCCCAGACGCTGTATCTTTTGATAGCTGGACACCATCAGCTTTCTTCGCTTCAGAGATCATTTTCATCCCATTATTTATGGGGCTTCAAAGAGTTCCTGGAAGAAAATACCATTGTCTTTCCATTCCATTTTTCCTGGACTTTTTTGTATTCACTCGTCTGTCCCTGGTCCCCTGGAATGTTTGTGTGCGTGCCAAACTCTTTGGGTGTCAGATATTTTCAGGAACTCTGGTGGCACAGTGGGTAGGTGTTTGGCTGCTAACCAAAAGATGGGTGGTTCAAGCCCACCGGCCACTGCATCGAGAAAGATGTGAGATCCACAGTCACAAAGATTCACACCTTGGAACCCTTGGAGCAGTTCTCCTCTGTCTGATGGAGTGGCCGTGCGTCAGCATCTACTTGGTGAAGAGGTTTGGTTGGTTTTTATTCTCGATAGTGTCCAAATATAAAGAAATGAAATGTTGTAAATGCAGAAAAACAACGTAGCAGTCATCTGTAAATCCAACCCTTAGAAATTATTACAGTATTTTTATTACTGATTCTGCAGGACCATGATGGTGAAGTCGGGGGATTTAGACTTGGCACGATTACATACTTAGAGTAGGGAGGATATGGTGATAATTTTTTGGCTTAGTTGTTTTGACAGAAAGGTATGATGTTCAATAGAGGTGTGAGAGTCTAGGACTTTGAGACACATTCATAGATATATATCTTTTTAATAAATCATTTTACTTGGGGCTCTTACAGCTCCTATAACAGTCCATGCATCAATGGTATCGAGCACATTTGTACATCATCATCTTCAAAATATTTTCTTTCTGTTTGAGCAATTAGTATCAGCTCCTCTTTTTGCCCTCCCTCCTCCACCTTCCCATGGACCCCTGATAAATCATAAATTATTACTAGTTTCATATCTTCCACTGCCTGCGAGACATTTTCATACTTGTCTAGACATGAGTCGCTGCAATAAATAGCAGTGTGGGGCCATAACTGACCTATGATTTCTTACTGCTGTGAGACGGGTCAGGCAGGCCTCCATGGACCCTCCTCCTGTACCCGTTCTGTCACCAACTGTCCTCCCACGCCGCCCGACACCCATGCTGGAGGCAGTCATTCCCTGCAGTAGCCACACACAACTCACAGATGCATGCACAGTGACGGGGGTTTCTAAGGGAAGGCATAGGTTACCACTCGCTAGGATCAGCAAACCTAAGGATACAGTCATTACATACGGTCTTAGCCAGTCGCCAAGGCTTTCTCTAGGTCTTCGTCTCCCAGCCACCTGGTTCCCTTAGCCTTCACCTCTACCCACCAGGAAGGCAGCCTGCCTGCCACCCTGCCACACAGTCCTATAGTCTCGGGCCAGCTACGGAGAGAGTCCCTCACAGTCTCAGCTCTGTTCCCCGGAGTCGCCGAGCCACCTTCGGAATGCATCTGGTTTCGCTGGCCTTCCGACAGAGATCTTGAATGTGCTCTTCTCCCAAGGTCCTTCGGGGTTTCTTTTCTCTCCTGCTGCTTCAAAGATGGGTCATCCGTAGAGTTAGGGACAGGTAACATCAACTGACCACTCCCTACAGGTACAGAGATTGAGTGGAAGAGCCATATTAAGAAATTTCACTCCACTACAGTCACCTTCAGTTCTACCAATTGAAAGATTCTTAGCTTCATATTCAAAGACCTCTAAGACCTAGCTCTCGCTAACTTTAAAATATATATACATCTCAGGTTCTTTGAGGTTTAATTTATATACAACAACATTTCCTCTTTCAGTTTATAAGTTTCTACTAACAAAAATAATATAACCAGAGTAGAGAAGAGTTTAATCATCCTTTTATAGTTAAGCCTTCCCTTCAGCTCCTTCTCACTTATCTGACTTTTGTGCTTGGCCTTGTCCAGAATACCATATAAATGAACTCCTGCACTGTGAAGTTGCCCTGGGACAATGTGTTCACGCTGGGCTGCTAACCTTAAGGTCAAAGGTTTAGCCCCACCAGCGCTCTGGGAGATCTCCATACAGACCTCTGAAACCCTGTGTAGGGTGAGAGCCACTCGGATGTAGACTTTTCAGTCTGCCTCCTTTGACTGAGCCTAGTGTGTCTGCGATTCATCTGTGTGGCTGCATTTATCCCCACCTGTGCCCTTTTTGAAGGAGCCCAGGTTTCGAGCGGCACTGCTGATGGCAAGGTCAGCAGTTCAAAACCACCAGGCGCTCTAAGGGAGAAAGACCAGGCTTTCTACTCCAATAAAGAGCTGTAGTTCTAACCTGCCCAGTGTGGTAGCAAAGCGTCCGGAATCACGGTGATGGCCGCGAGTTTGGTTTGGATCTTGGTGCTTTTCACTGCCGAGCAATATCCCATTGTGCCCGTGGTTATTGATTCTCTACGTGACGAGATGTGGGTGGTTTCTGCTTCTTGGTGACTGACTGAAGCTGCCATCCACATTGACGTACAGCAACTACATCACTCTTCTAGCCATGCCTGTGCCAATGGCCCGCTTTGGATGCCCGTGAGAACAGTGAGCTGCGGGCTCCGGGCTTCCCTGCCCTGGTGCCTTAGCTCACATCCCTGTCTCCTTTACCACCACCATCTCCCGCCTCTCCTTTCCCGTCGTCTCTGTTGGAATTTTCTCTTCCTTTCTCCAAAGCCATCTACGGTGTGTTAAGGTGTGGTAGGAGACTTACTGTACCTCATCTAGATCAGTGGTTCTCAACCTTCCTAATGCCGCGACCCTTCATACAGTTCCTCGTGGTGTGTTGACCCCCCCCAACCATAAAATTATTTTGTTGCTAGTTTATGACTGTAATTTTGCTATTGTTATGAATCAGGCGACCCCTATGAAGGGGTCGCGACCCACAGGTTGAGAAATGCTGCTCTAGATCATCTTCGTGTTTGGACTTAAGGGTCTCAGATGGGAAGCAGGATTGAGTCAGAGTCAACCTTTGTGTCCTCCAACCATCTGACATGTTCTTTGCCATTTGATGCCCTTGGGGAATGCCTGGGCCCTGGGCCCCAGCCATGTGGCTGTGGTATGGAAGGGAGCGGGCATGTGGTTTTGTAGAAGAGGAGATGGGCTTTTGTGGGACAGTTGAATTACAAGATAGCCACTCCTATCCCGAGGGACCCTCTCTTTCTCTAATTAAAGGCCAGATTCAGAACAGTCTCAGCCTCAGTGATACTCAGTTGGATCACTTGTTTCCTTTTAGGTTCGTGTAAATATTTTTAGATGGCTGGAATGGGGTCGTGTGACCCCACGGCCTCTGCTGAGACCAAGACTTAGCCCACTGCTGGCGAGGCAGTTCCGACTCACGTCAATCCCAGGGGTTAACACTTGGTTGTAACCTTTATGGAAACAGATAGCCAGGCCTTTCTTCCACAGCACTGCAGGTGGGTTTGATCCCACCTCCTTTCAGGTGGTAGCCAAGGACAGACCATGTGCACCACCCAGGGACCACCCCTGGTGGAAAATCACTGTCTCAGATTGCTCTGGGGGAACTCGATTGCTGCACATTTATCTACAAAAGCTGGCTTAACAGTTGACTTGTGGTGTTAACTAGGAAAATCACTCATGAAATGTAGGAGACTGAAAGTGATTGAGTCCACTGGCAGGGAGAAGGAAGCATGGGATGATTCAAGGGTGGAGACACCCTGTCTTTGTGTAATCCCAGAGGGTGGGCTTTGTTCTGATAAGATAGGAGTGTGTGCAGTGCTAGGTCAGCAATTGATAGTGTCTGGGGGTTTCTCCGGGGTGTAGGCCTCTCTCAGACAACGCACGGGAAGACTCCCCAGCAGAATGCACGGGCCTCTCCAGAGAAAACCAAGCGGAAAGCAGCCACCTCTGAGTTCACCGCACCTTGTAAGCAGCCTCAGCTTGATGGGCCTCAGACCTGGTCTCTATCTAAGGTCACTCCTTATCCCGAGGACAACCAGAAGTCTTCACTTAAAGGTCACATGACACTGAGACCCCGAAGCCGAGCTCTGAAAGCCACCGAGATTGGTGAAGAGATGAAACTTTATCCTATCAGAGGGCGGCAGGAGCCCTTGTTGTTCCTGACGCCGAGAAAACTCCAAAAGAGGTAACCTGGGACGGGCCCTAACTCCCACGGAGCACACAGATCCTGCACGGGATGTGAAGTGTGTGTGCCACAATCAGATCCCTTAGGGCACTGGGTTGTAAACCAGTTGTGTCATGGATTCGTTGGGGACCTTTCCAAATTACAGATTTCTACGCCTCTCCCCAGACTAGTGGGCTAATCGTCAGCATGGGGCCCACAGTCTAGCGGATTCAGGTAGACTGCTTGTCCTCCAGGGCAGATGATTTCCCGACCAGCTGCTGCATTGCTCCATGCTGGGGTCCCTTCAACTGTCACGTCCGTTCTCAACTACATGTAACATAAGAAGATAAGGCTTGTAGATTAAATTTAGCAGTTTGACATGATGAGATGTTTGCAGGTAAGCTGTCCACGTAAAATGTGACTCGCCAGAGATGCTCAATCACTGCCATTCAGTCAACTTCTGATTCACGACAACCTTGTAGGATAGAGTAGAGCTGCCCTGTGGGTTTCTGAGACTCACTTGCTCGACACTGTAGTTGAAAGTCTCCTCTTTTTCCCACTCAATGGCTGGTGGGTTTGAACTTCTGGTCTTGCAGTTATCAGCCCAATGTATAACCCACTACGTTACCAGGTCTCCTGCCCACCTATGATCAGTTGCTCAAAAGAATTAAATTCTTCGTGCTCGTAGGTACATTTACACTAAGTGGGAGTCTGGGAGGATAACGCAGTGAGGGGGTGGCGGAGACAAAACGAGACTGGGGGCTGCCTGGGATGAATGTGTTCCTCGTCTCCTCGAGTTGGGGTGGAGGTGTGTTCTCAGGGACAGAATAAGCTTTAGGCCATTTTCCCACTTCTGGATTTGATCTAAGCTTCGAGTATGAGTTTTTTAAGTCAGGTATGGTTAGTTCCTTCCAATGTAGCCATGAAAGAGCCAGAAGCCCGTTGGGCCGGCCGGCCGGCTCTCTTCTGCTGCCTGCTCCTCACCCTTTGTGCCCCGACCTGCCTCAGGTCACCTCGCTGCACTATCTTACAGGGAGGCGGAACAACCAGAAGCCCCGAGCGCAGCTGCGCGCGCCCCCGGTCGTGTCCGCAGAAAGAGTTCCGCCTTGACTCTGAGTCGGATTAGGCAACAGCTTCGGTAAGCCTGCTGCCCAACGGGCAGACAGACGTGGGTAGCTGTACCTGTGGGGTCTTTGCTCTCAAGTTGTCTGTTCTTGGCTCATCATTAGGAATTTACCTTTTGTCTCCTGTGCTGGAGGCACCTTACATTCCCGGGACTGTTGTACTTGGGAAGGGAATAGAGACTGCTGCGAGGAGCAGTGTGGGAGTGTCTAAATAGCAGGATTTCTGCTCCTGGTAGACACTGATTCAAACCTGGCACTCTCCCTTACTATCTGTATAACTTCAGCAGGGTCATGTAACCTTCCCAAGCCTCAACTTTCCCATCTCTGAAACGAGAACAGCACAAAACTTAGGAAAGTCTTGTGACGTTCAACGTGACTTGGCAGTTGTTAGTCCTGGGAAGTGGGGCAAAATCTTTACTCGTTGTGCCTGAGCACTGGGGAGAGGAGGCACCCCCCTCTTCCACGCTGACCTGTCATGAAGCTTCTCTTATTTAGACTCTGAACACTGCGTGTAAGAAAATAATATCCCAATGTCCAGGTTTTTAGGTGATGGTAGGAACAATGAAGACGAAGAGTTTCTGCAGACCTCAGACCCTTCAGACTCTAGCAGTGAGGAGGAGGAAGAGGCCGCCACGCCGCGCCCCCCGAGAACGCCCGGCACTGTGTCTAGGAACCTACGATCGCCCACGAGGTCATCCTTTCAGACTCCCTCCAAGACACCAAAGAAAACCGTAAGGCTCTTTTAGCGGAGGATGCGTCCTGCTCTTATTTTAAAGGCTGTGATTGCCAGCCACTTTGTGGTACTATCGTGGCTTCTGCGATGCTGGAGGCTGTGCCACCAGCGTTTCTCACACCAGCAGGGTCACCCGTGATGGGCAAGGTTCAGCAGAGCTTCCAGACTCAGACAGACGAGGAAGAAGGAATAGGTAATCCACTTCTGAAAGCCCTGCGCACAGCTGTAGAACACTGTCAGACACGGGTGGAAGAAGAGCCCTCCGGTTGGAAGACACTCACAATGTGGCTGGGGACGAAGGGCTCCCTCAGCGCAGAGGGTCAGGGAAAGAGGGGGACCCTCCGCAAGACGGAATGGGCTCCAGCCTCACAGTGGGGACAACGCCTCAGCATAGGCCAGCGATCGTTCTGTTGTCTGCAGGCTCACTGCAGTTAGAACTGACTCGAAGGACTCATAACAACAACCACATAGCCAAAGCCACACGGTCCCAGGCACCTGTGCACACCCCGTAGTCTGAACGCCACGGTTTCAACGTGGAGGTACTACTACATGTTCAGAGGACAGAATGTAAGTGGGTTTTGAGTCTTGAAGTTCCTTATAAGGTTCGTATATGACTGAGCCGCTGGAGGAAGAAAAAGAACTGTGCCCTCACCTTAGCCTTTCTCACCGAGCCTAGCAAAGCACTCGGTGCCTGCGGTTGCTCGGCCGATGCTGCAGCACGGCTGTGGGCTGGTAGTGTTATCCCCTGGTGCACAGGAGCCACCCGAGATCTACTTGGGTTGGGCCCTGGTGATGAATAGGTTAAAGGCAAGGGACATCCTGCGGAACGTGAGCAGAATCTTCAGAATATGGAGGAAAAAGCCTTCTCGTGTTCAAGGACCTTTGAACAAAGGGACATTGGTTGCTTCCCAAGGCCCTCAGTGAATCAACGTCCGTTGTGGCCTTGCAAGAGAACACTGGCGGTTGAGTTGATGAGTCTTGGGTGTTTTTCTGGGAGCGTCTTGTCTTTTGGAGCGTAGCTTGACAAGTGCCTGGCTCTTATTTCGTTGTCAGTTGAGATGTGTGTGTTGGGGTCGGCAGATGTGTGTGGTCAGTGGGAATGGTTCTGGTTAGGTACCTTCAAGTCCGTTCTGAATGTACGACAGACAGAAACACTGCTCGTCCTACCCCCCCCTCACGATCTCTGCTCGGCTTGAGCCCACTGTTGCGGTCACTGCAGGTCCATCAGTGAACGTGACCTGCCCACCGTGGAGTTAGCACTTGGTGGAAATTGCTTGCCTCACAGAAGAAAGGGAGCAGGGCTGTGATGCTAGACTCGGCTGTGACCCCAGCGTTTGGGATGGGAGTTAGTGCAGCGGTTCTCAACCTGTGGGTCATGACCCTTTGGCAGGAGTCGCCCAATTCATAACAGTAGCAAAATGACAGTTATAAAGTAGCAACGAAAATAATTTTATGGTTGTGGGGGATCACCACAACACGAGGAACTGTATTAAAGGGATGTGGCATTAGGAAGGTGGAGAACCACTGCTTTAGTGGAACACAGGAGGCCTGAGTGGAAACAAATTTGGGCAATGGCTTCCCCCGAGCCTCCTCCTCTACCTTGTATTTGAACACAGGGATTTCTTAGTCACTCCTAGTCTGTTTCAAAATGGTATTTAAAGGGTCTCCAGTCCATACTTTTATGCATGCCTGCCTCGTGTTGACATTGTTCCCAAATCCTGATGCTGTGTGGGCCGTCAGGGCGGGACCTGTGTGCAGAGTGTGCTCTCTGGGAGGTGGGAGCTGAAGAATGGGACCAGGGATTTCACCACCTGCTTCCTCTCAGAGGAGCGACACGCATCACTTGGGTTTTTGTGCTCCTCTTTCTGAAAGTCTTCTCCCTCTGATGCAGCCTACGTGCCGAACGCCACGCCAGGCCACACCCCAGATCCGCAGCCGAAGCCTGGCTGCCCAGGAGCCGTCCAGCGTGCTGGAGGAGGCCCGGCTGAGGTGAGAAAGGCGGCCTCTTTGCCCGGTCCCTCAGAGCAGGGGTGGGTGCAGGCCTGGCGCACCCAGGAACGGCTGGGTAAGAGATCCTGTGCGTTCAGTAAGCAGCAGGCACGTGTGGGGAGCTTGCAGCTGTGAAAGGAGAGGCCGTCTGGTCCGTGGTAGGGACCCTGCTTCTCAGCTGTGTGGGACCTGTTCTGAAACCCACCACCAGGAGTCAGCCTGGTCGGTCTCCTAGGATGAGGCCCCCCCGGAGCTGGGGGAGTGGGTGAAGTGACGTTGGTTCGAGCCACTGAGGCGGCAAATGGAGGAGATTCGGGCTGAAGGCTCTTCTCGTGGGGGAAGTTGACGTGCGCTGCAGACACTAGGCCCGTGTCTACACGTTGCTGAGGAAACAGTGCGATGCTTCCAGAGGCCTCTTTTTGCCCCATTTGCTGTAACTAGGCTGCACGTTTCTGCCGTGCCTCAGTCCCTCCCCTGTCGGGAACAGGAATTCCAAGACATCTACAACTTCGTGGAAAGCAAGCTCCTGGACCACACTGGAGGGTGAGTTGTGCCAGGAGGGTTTCTGGGGCAGGGTTCTGAGAGGACAGCGCCCTGGCGCGTTAGGATTCAGGCAGGTGGAGGCCCTGCAGCGGGAGGAGGACAGGCAAGATCGCTGCGTACGCCTGCAGCAGGTGCAGCTGCAGTTGAAAGTGGGTCTGTGGAAACAGGAGTTGTGCTTCCCACCCGGCCTGGGGCAGGCCTTGGGTGGGCAGTTCGTGACAGCGTCGCTTGTGAAATGGACACTGCAGATCAGCAGGTCCTGCTCTGCTGACCACCTTCCAGGGTGGGTCTCAGTCCTTCCCTCGGCGAACGTTCCCAACCTGCTGGCCACTAGCGTGCGCGGTGTTCTCCCTGCCCCAGCCCACAGCTCGTCCTTCCTTTGTCTAGGTGCATGTACATCTCTGGGGTCCCAGGGACCGGGAAGACGGCCACTGTGCATGAGGTGATACGCTGCCTGCAGCTGGCAGCTGAAGCAAAGGAGGTCCCGCCTTTCCAGTACGTGGAGGTCAACGGCATGAAGCTGACGGAGCCCCACCAAATCTACGTGCAAATCTTGCAGGTCGCCAAAGCTGTGGGGGCCCTTTGGTTGTGTGCTCGTGGTTTCAGAAGGGGTCTGGGTACCACCCGGGGTGGGTGTGCATTTCAAGCATCCATTTCCCTCACTTTTGTTACATTCCCATGTGGCGCCTTCTCTTGCTCTTCCGAGTTGGGGCTGCGATCAGACTGGTGGGCAGAGCATGGGCTTCTGCAGTCCCCAGACCAAGCAGCTCCCTCTGCCTCCGGGTTGAGCTTTAAGCCCAGGAAAGTAGAACTGTTACAGCCTACCAGACTGGAGGTGTTTTTACCCAATGCAGCACCTGACGGGCAAAAAGGCATCAGCCACTCACGCTGCGGAGCTGCTGGCAAAGCACTTCTGCACCCCAGGCTCCCCTCAGGAGACCACCGTGCTGCTGGTGGATGAGGTGAGGAGGGCTCTTGGGACCCAAGGGGAAATGGTGCTCCAAGAGCAATTCCTGGGCAGAAGGGAAGTCTCATGAATCTGAACCCATTCTTTAGTGGTCAGAGAGAGAGAGAGATGTACCCCCCTTCCCCTAACCACCTCTGCTGCTCTGGTGAGGTGACATGCCACCCAAACCATGATAGCCCTCCGGGGCACTGCCGGGGTCTCTGAGACTTGCCCTGCATCTCCCGCCATTCCCCTGGCAGCTCGACCTCCTGTGGACTCAGAAACAAGACGTGCTGTACAATCTGTTTGACTGGCCCACTCACAAGGAGGCCCAGCTGGTGGTCCTGACCATCGCCAACACAATGGACCTGCCGGAGCGAGTCATGATGAAACGGGTGGCAAGCCGACTGGTAGGTGCCAGGCTAGCACTCACGCTGTTCCTACAGCCCCGTAAGCTGGACCAGCGCGGCACAAAGCTTTTCCAAAAACCGTCGTTCCTGGATTGGAATTCAGGGTGTCACCTTTATGTAACTTTCTGCAGACATCACACCATCTTAGTTTCTGTCTGCCTGTCTGTTCTTCAGTTGCACAGAGCCATAGAGATTTAGTTTCTTGTTTTAAAAAAATTAGTTAAGCCCTTTTAATGTACCAGGATGTTTCAGATCCTTGGTGTATTACAACGAACAAGGCAAGCATCCATGGTCTGCCCTCAGGGACCAGGAAGTACAGCATCGGAGAACTAGTCATAAGCAAGAGTGCAGCTGGGAGCCAGGGACAAGCACGTTGCGGAGGATGCTAAGGTCTGCCCACCCACTCGGAGTTGAGCATCTCTGTTTCATGAGACTTCTAACAATTCTACTACCATGAAAGGTTCTTAAATTTAATGGAAAATGCTGCCATCCAGAGTGCCACTGGCCACGGGCAGCAACAGAAGCAGCAGGAAGTAGTTCTGGCTGTATGTGGAGTCGGATAGGGCGTTCGGAAAAGTGGGCTGGGGATGGACTGACTTGCCTTCTACCTGGATGATCAGAGTGGACATTCGGCAACCTTGTCTGTCATCTCGGCTCCCTAGGGCCTCACCAGGATGTCCTTCCAGCCCTACACTCATAGCCAGCTGCAGCAGATCCTGACGTCCCGGCTCAAACATGTAAAGGCCTTTGAAGGTGACGCCATCCAGCTGGTAGCCAGGAAGGTATGTCACCCACAGGGAGCTCCTAGCTACACGTAGAAGACCTTTGGGAGCCTCGAGACCTGCCAGGTGTCAGGCAGGCTCTACCCTGGGTGCGCTGAGGCTGAAACTTCTTAAAACGCCAAACTTAACTGCGATGGAGTCAATGCTAACTCTTGGTGACTGCACAGAACTGCCCCTGTGGGTTTCTGGGGCTGTATGAGTTCAGACTGTCCGGGAAACGGGCCTGGAGGAGATAGGGTCCACACTGTGCTTTAAAAAACGTCCTGTACTGTGACTGTTAGAAGGTCACGGTCATTTGGGGATGTCTCCAGGTGGGTGCCTGTTGGGGACTGCTGGCGCGTGCTGGGAACATAGTCGCCGAGAGGGAGTATGCAGGGAATCCAGGTGTTCCCAGCTGAGGCCCTTTGCCATGAGTCCAGGACTACGTGGTGCCTGGCTACCAGTCCTCATAACTGGTCCTGATGAGAGGAGGGAGACGCAGAGTAGATTTTCATGCAATCGGGTCGAGACTTCTAAGAGCCATCCAGGCTGGATGACTATATGAATGCAGTCAGTCATTGTCCCTGGTTGTCCCGAGAGGTGGTGGGATTTGTGCGTGTTCTCAACAACACCACGAGTAGAGCACATGGTTTATCTTTTATCTCACTTTGTTGGCGTGTGGAGGAGTCGGCCCTCAGCCTCTGCCCGTGAAAAGGAAGGAGCAGCACAGAGCTGTTGGGCTGGGCAGGCTCCTCGGCTCCCCCAGCTTTGTGGCTTCTAGTCCTTTTCCCATCTCGATTCAGCTCCCCGCAGAACCACCCCTGTGAGGGCCCGCCAAGAGACCCTGTCTGGGGGCTTGATGGGCTCTCTCCGCCCCCTTGGCCGAGGCTCACTGCTAGTAGGTCACTGCCCCTTTCCCACAAGGAGCAAAAACCCTCAACCCTCCTTTCAGAGGGAGCGGTAATGTTTTGGGCTAAAGGTTTCTTCTCGACTTTCTGTAAACAAGCTGAGAATGTCTGCCCTTTCTGTTGTGGAGCTATCTGTAAAATCAAGATAAAGGTTTGACTGTGAAACTGTGCCTCAGACCGAGCAGAATAATCTACTTGCTGTGTGTCCACAGGAAAAAAGGCACTTTCACTCTCAGAAACTCTTGGGGGCAGTGCTGCCCGGTTCTGGAGGGTGGCATCGATGGCGGTGAGTTCTGGGTGCCTATCAGGCTCCCAGCCAGGACTCGGGATTTACCTTCCTTTTCCGCAGGACACGGGCTCGTGAGGAGGTGTAGAGATAAACCTGAAGCTCAGAGAGGAGTCACTGGCCAGGGTTATCGGTTGCAGAACCAGGGTTCAGTCCAGGCCTTCTGCTTCCAAGGCCATGCGGGCAGATCTCCTGGGCCGAGGTGGCAAAGGGATGGCAAGTGATGGAGCTGCCCCTCTTGCAGGTCGCAGCCCTCTCTGGAGATGCCCGCCGCTGCCTGGACATCTGCAGGAGAGCCACTGAGATCTGCGAGTTCGCCCAGCAGAAGCCCGGCTCCCCCGGCCTGGTCACCGTGTCCAACCTGATGGAAGCAGTGGAGGAGATGTTTTCATCGTCATACATCACTGCCATCAAGTAAGCTCCTCCCACCTCCTCAGCGGGGACCTTCCCCACAGGCCCGGGGCTGGGAAGGCCCTTGGAAATCCGTTTCCTTTCTCAGTCTGTTCATTCAGGGTGGATTTACTGGTGGGTGATGGCGAGGTAACCCTCAGGTAACAGGCCCCGTTGGTTGAGCTGCACCGTGGTATGGCCCGGCTGTGGGAAACCAGCAAAGGGAAGCCGTGGGTGCCAGGCTGCGACTTCTGTCCCTGGGGTGACACATTGCCGGTGGTGCTCCCGCACTGCCGGGGCAGCACTGAGCACAGCAGCTGGAGCTGCAGGCAGACGGGCTGGCCTTGCTGAGTAAGACGGCGATCGAGTTCCCAGTTCTTCCTTGGTTCTCACGGCACGGGGAAACCATTTGGCTTTGGCTTTCGGCTGGTGGTGCAGACACCGTGGCAAACTCACACCTCCTCTTTCCTTTAAGAAACTGCTCGGTCCTGGAGCAGTGCTTCCTGAGAGCCATCCTTGCAGAGTTCCGGCGATCAGGTCTGGAGGAGGCAACGTTTCAGCAGGTGAGCCGGCTCCTGGGTTTGCATCGGGGCTCTATTAAAGTGCAGGAATCCCACACGGTGGGCATATCAGTTTGGTGCCGCCCAGATAACACAGCACAATATCAGGGTAGCACCTCCCTGTATGTGACCCAGTGCTTGGAGGACAGACTGAATGCAGACCGGGTACTGTCCCAGGGTGGGAGTCTACCATGTACTAGCCAGACACCGTGCCAGTATACAGCTGATGGCATTGAGGGGCCGTGTTCCCAGAAACAAGCCACACAGATCAGAATCTGGGTGTCACTGGAAATCATGTGAAAGACCTCTCTCGGGCACATGACTGCAGGGTTCAGCTCCAGACCGGGCTCGGTGGGAAGCCGTTGCGTGGAAGCGGAGTTGTTGAGATGTGTGCCCAGTGCTGGAGTGTCTGTGGTATTTGTCACACAGCTTTATGTCACTGCCACAGAGCAGCTTCTGCTTTAATGAGGCGCTGGTCCATTTGTTTTAGAAACTTAGTTGCTGGTCAAGGTTTGTTCCCTTCCCAGAACCTGAGGCAACTCATCTGCTAGTTTGTGATCCTTTCCCAGACAAGTCACTAACTCATGGATGCCAGGTACCCTGAGCTGAACCTGCGGGAGGCTCCCCGCCTGGTCAAGGGTGACCAGGGAGTGCACAGACTCGTCCGGCCCAGTGAGGGCTTTTTTTTCCTCAATAGGCTCTGGCTGCCCTCCTGCCTCCCTTGTCGGGCATTCTCCCCGGGCCTTTGTGCCGCTTGGCAGGAGCTCTCAGCCCCTGGAGACCAAGCCTGGCAACATATTCCATATCCTTTAACTCGCGAAGGATGTGGCAGTACCTTCTTTAAACAAAACCAAACTCAGAAAGTAAGCTTACTGGCCCCAGGCTTACACACCTAGGTTCTTGGCAGAACCCAGTTTTAGACTAGCATGACCTCCACCCTCCGCTTCTATGCAGGGCATCCACCGATGTCCTGCTTCCTGGACACTGGGGTCTCCTTTCCCAGACCCGGTCCTCACCTCCAGGCAGCTGAACTGGGCTCTCTTTCCTGTGTGCAGGTGTACAGGCAGCACGTCACTCTGTGCCGGGTGGAAGGGCTGCCCTACCCCACGGTGTCCGAGACCATGGCCGTGTGTTCACGCCTGGGCTCCTGCCGCCTCCTCCTCGTGGAGCCCAGCAGGAACGACCTGCTGCTCCGTGTGCGCCTCAACGTCAGCCCAAACGACGTCCTGTACGCGCTGAAGGGAACCTAGCCGCTGCCTGCGCAGGCAAGGGCTGCTGAGCTGGCTGTACGGCAACGGCTCAGTCTTCGTTTTCTGATTGTTGTGAACTCACAACGGACAGGGGTGGCGGGGTCATCTCTTTTGACATTGCCAGTAAGTCACTTGTTCCGGATCTGGGTTATTGACTGTCATTCTATGGCTGCTCGCAGTTGCTGAATCCGGCTCCTGATTCGGGGCCTCCCACATGGGGGGTGAAATGCTGCCCATTCCTGAGCCATCCTCATGGTCGTGTGTGGGTTGGACCATGGCGATCCTGGGGGTTGACATTAGCTGAGTTTCCGATTGCCGCGCCTGGAAGCTCTCCTGCATCAGCCGCTGGAAAGCCGACGGGTGCTGGCGGTGATGCCCCACCACTGCCCTGGTGCAGCCTTGACAAAACCACATGGCTCTCACCACAGGCCTTCCCTCTGGTGTTCATGTCTGTTCCCGCCCGCCATTGATCTAATGGCTACGTACAGGCATGTGACGTGGGCAATATCTGACTGCATGCAAGGGTAAGTGAAAATGGATTGCTACAAAATCATAAAGCCCTTTCAAAACACATGTCAACATGAAGCTGTTGTTCCTCAGCATCCGTTCCGTGTAGGCCTGCGCCTCTCTGAAGACTGTTTCCATCTCTAACCCTTCTGAGCGATTACGCAGCTTTGGCACCTCGAGGGACTCCGGCTGTGGTCCTTTCTGAGTTTTCAGGAACAGAAATGTCTGAAGGGCGTGGTTAGGCTGTAGGGTAGATGGCGTCCTGTTTCCTAAGGAGGTTCTCTCACCACAGCTCCTGCTACCCTTGAAGAGGAGAGTGAGTCTTGGAAACTCACAGGGGCACTTTGACCCTGTCCTATGAAAAAACAAACCTTGCCAGCGAGTCCGTGCTGACTCCCAGCCAGCCCTGCAAGTTTTCCGCAACTAACTGTTTACGGGGGTAGAGAGCCCAGGCTTGCTCCCTTGCAGTTGCCGGTGGTTTTGAACGTGGATAGCAGCCCAATGCATGACCACTGCACCACCAGGGCTGCTCCCCCGTCCGATAAGATCCGCTGTAAGTTGGAATCAACTCAATGGCTGTGAGTCTTTGTTTTATCACATATCCCACTGGAGATCCCCACGAACCTGGACTGACCTTGCTTCCTTGAATGTCACTGGCCTCGCAGATCCCCCTCAGGGCCACTGGTGGGAGTGGGCCTTTCGTGGAGAGCACCTTGACCAGCCTCAGACCAGTCAGTACTTGTCTGCAGCCGTCCACTGAGCATAGCCATGTGGCACTCACTTTGCCGGGGATAAACCCATCAGCGGATGATCTGGACGTAACCCTAAGTGACATGTTTTTACTTCACCCCGTATCTGGGAATGAGGACACTCAGCCGTCTGAGCATCTGGGAACGGCATCCTCCCCTTGAAATGAGAACCCCACTTCTGCTGGTTGTGCAGTGGGACGTCACCAGGCCCAAACTCCCAACCCTGCTGCAGGCCTTCTGCAGCTCCAGTGCCTGGGTTTTGTCCAGTGTGGTCTCCAATCGGCTGACAGTAAACAGGCGTGTGCTCAGGTCCTCCCGTCTGATGCTCTTGGCCTGTCCCATCCCCTCTCCAGGCAGGTTCTCGGGGAGCTGAAATGTCCCTGCAGCTGACTTAGAGTAGGTGGCCACAGCGGGACAGCTGGACTGCAGAGGGCTCACCTGGGCCATCCAGTGGGAGCTGCCGGGCTAGCACGGCCCCGGAGACCCGTGCCACGTCCCTCAGAAACAGATGTACACAGGTTGTCCAAACCACGTTGCACACCTGTGTGTGAGATGCCCCAAAAGAACCGAGCTGCCAGGTTGAGGCTGGTAGCACTCCTAGTGTCCTCATGTGTCTGAACTGCATGAGTGCTAACAAATTCAGTCTGCCAAAGGGCTGTTGGGGATGACATCTCAGTCCTTGGCAGCAAATGGCCAGAAGATTAAGCTGTTTGTTTTGTTGTTTTACCGTATATAGTCGTGTATAAGCCGAGTTTTCTACATTTTTATGCAGTTTTTATGGTAAAACTGGTGCCTTAGCTGATACTCAGGCCGGCTTATACTCTAGTATATATGGTAAGTACCATTTGCCACCCAAAAAATGTTTTACAAAAAAGACTTGTGTGGCACAAAAATTCTGAGGTTCAGTACTAACTAGTCTCCTATAGAGATGTAATTAAACGATTAATATCAACTCCAATCAAAGTCTCGGCAGCGTTTCTTACAGATTCATTCTAACTAGCTGGCATCTCAGGTTGCTCCCATGAAGTACTCAGGCGCATCACCATGCATGTCAACAGTCCTGCTGAGAGGCTTTAAGCGGAATCTATCGATGGGGAGATGACAGACAGCTGCAAACAGGCTGGCAGAGTTGCTGTTAGGGCACCTGTCATAAGGACCCTGTGGGACAGGCTTGGGCTGCCATGTGCTTCCAGGACTGACTGGGAGTAGAAAAGCCTCCTGTCTCCCTCCCTCAGTGGTTGGTGGCCTCAGTCCACCACATGACCGCTATGCCACCAGGGCCCCTTGAGTGAAACCTTTCCATGTGGACTAGATACACATTAAAGAATACAGTTGCAGGTCGCCAATCTCCCTTTCCAAGTTGAAGATCTGCATGTAGTTCCTAGTGGACCCTTCACAAAACTTTGAGCCCGAGTGCTGAGTGTCCATTTGCTAAAAGTCTGCAGAGAGGAACTGCTCACGAGATGAGTAAGCTGCACACGGACCCTCCCAACACAGCTCTGCCAACACAGAGCGTCTCAGGCCTAAGTGCGTCTGTGCAGTTCAAACGTGCTCAGGGGTCATGGTAAGTTCCACAAGGGTGGTCAAATCGGCCCTTGTTCTTAAATGGAGGAGTAAATGTTTACAGGGTCTGTGTAATGAATGAGATCTCCCAGAAGGACCCTATTTGGAAGTAGCTTGAGATGAAACCCAGGATGTGGTGTGAGCCCTAAATCCAATGGCTGGTGTCTTTATAAAAGAAAGGAAAGGGAATCTTTGACAAAGACACACAGTGGTCAAGTGAAGGCAGAGGCGGGGTTGAAGGAGTGTGGCTGCCACGAGCCAAGGAATGAGGGCATGGGAAGGGTCTTTCCATAGAGCCACGGAGGGAGCGTGGCCCTGCCCACACCTGGCTCTCAGACTTCTGCCCTCCAGAACAGGAAGAGAAGAAATTTGGGGGTTTTGTTTTAAGCTGCCTCATTTGTCATCTTTTTTATGGAGGTTCTGGAAAATTGAACACATGCATGTATTTTTAACTACACATGTGATGGACTGAGGATCAAAATTATAAAGATCTCCACAAAGAATAAGAAGAGAGAGCGTGGGTAAACCACGCATCCACGCACACATAGAGGGGCTTTAATAAAAAATTGTTTCATACCCATTTCTAGTGCCCCAAGTTGATTCATACTTAGAGCAACCCTGTAGCCCAGAGCAGAATGCTCCCTGGAGTTCCCAGGGTTGTAAACCTTAATAGGAAGAACAGCCTTATCTAAAGATATTAATCCATAAAAATAGAGGTATTGGCTTATGTACATATATTTCTGTGACAATGCACAGGTATAGTGGAAGGACTTCAGGCCTCTGCTCATGTCCTCCCTCAATGCAAGAACACTTTGTTCTAACAAACTGGCATTC